GATTTAAGGGTCGTTGATTAGTCCGGTGACTTTAAAAATTTTTCCTCCTGAAGTTTTAAAAACCAGAAACCGGCGATTTTTTCTTTAAATATGAAGTAACAACAAAACTAAAATTCTTACAATGATTCATAAAACGATCCTGAAAAGAGTTGAAATGCTTGAAGACAAGTTTGTTCTTCTAACATTAATAAAAATGTCATGAGCCGAATTCAGAGTTTTCAGACTAATCGTTCTGAGACGGCAAATATTTGCATCAGCAGACAAGAAAGTTTTCCCAAAACTCTGCCGATTACAATGTAGGCAGTACACTCGCCTATTTTGGAACAACTTCTTTGTGAGCTTTGAAAGACAATATCACATTCCAAGCCAAAGCCACAACGTTCGAAGCCAGCACCTGCAATTTGAAGATAAAAAAACCGAATCATCCTCAAACACAATGAACAAAGAATTCCATCAGTTATCAGAAAACTCTTAAGCCTAGCAATGATGATGCAGAGAGCTAATGTCATTCTAGTGTGTTTCGTCTCAACCCCATTATGCAAAAGATGGTTTTAACAAGCGTTCAGTTACATGAAATCGCGTAATAATATCTTGCTTGGTTAATATGTGGCAGGGTCAAGATAGGATTAAGTATCTTTCACCGAATCGCACTAAGTAGAGGATTAAGACATTAAAGAGAGAAACAGAGTGTGGGAGATTTTGGTTCGAGCATATGCAAGTATCTTTCACCGAATGTATTTTTCACACTCTTCTGTTCCATGTTGTCACAGAGGTTTAGTATCAAACCTGGAAGTTTTGTGGAACAAATCTGAAGTTAAGAAACTGAAATGGTATCCATAGCTGCCAATTTGCTAGCACTGCACCAGTCCACTCCTACACAACAAGCAAATTCATGGATTTAATTAGAACACCGATAAAAAGATACAACATATCAAATTTAGGTTCCTGCAAAATGCTTGCCCATTCTGCACCATGCGAGAAACATTCTCGTGGACAGAAAAAGTTCAATTCGCTTTTAATCTAACCTGCTTTAGCTTCGGTATGACATTTGATGGTTTTCCTTCAAGTGTCACAACAGCTGATAAGAAAACTCCAACAAAAATAGGAGCAAAAACGAACTGCAAAAAAAGGAAAAAAATCGTTTTAACACAGAGGAAGTAAGATGGGAACAGAATTGTTAGATGGAGTATTGGTAAATTTTGCTACCTGATCCAGTAAAAGTCGCAAAACGGCGCCTGATAATCCGGAAGCTGTCACCACTTTGCTCAAATACAAATACCTAATATATGAGATAGCAAGTAGAGAATAAGCATGAGTGACATATCAATGGACGCAGAAGAGTCTTCTAATGAACAACCACTTGGCAGAAAAGTAAGATTATGAAAGACAAACAGTATACCACATAGAAAGTTACATGTATGTACATAAATTTTTAGAACATGCATCTAAACTGTCTGTGGATGTACTAAGGGTGAAAGGTCCACGGAAGTACCAGAAATGCAATGCTGGACCGACTAGCACTAAGCCCAAGAAGGTAAACGTGAGTGTCCTCTTCTTGTCCAGAGATGAGGTCTTATTGATTGTAAGCTGAAACCAAGTGTAACAAGAATAAGCAAGGTTGCTTTTTCAATAACCACATAGCAAACAGAATACTATAAAGCAAATAAAAGAAATTGATTTTTTTTACGGTGAATTTGAGAATCCTAATTTTAAAAAAGTAAGGCAACCAAGCAACATATATGATTCATTCATTTCATAATCATGTTCAAATTCCAAAAAAAAAAAAAAGATAGTAAAGATCAAGGAAAGTCTGTCTGTTCATCAGAAAACACATAATGCAGCTAATGAGTACTTAAAAATTGAGAATCCAAATTTGAAAAACAACTAATGAGATTCAAGCACACTATTAAGAGAGTTTAGTTACCTGACAGATCAAATCTCCAATGAGGGTCAAAATTGCTGATGTCACAGCTTTGGTTAAAACAGGATAATTTGAGAGAAGAGCCAAGTACCTGAACCACCACACAAATCAAAACCAAAAGACACACACGCATATGTTACATTTCAAAGAAAAATATTTACACAAGAAAGAGGTTAGAAACAGAAGCAAGTACGAATTTTTACCGTGAGAGCAATGACCACTTCTTTCCGTCTCCGTCGCTACCTTCACCTTCACCGCCGGAACCACCGCCACCTGAATCACCAACCCCACCGGAGCCACCTGAACCTCTACCTGAGACTGAAGAGACCCGACCCAGATGTCTGAACCCAATCCCGGAACGCCCAGACCAATTGCTACGACCACAATTCAGTGAACCATTTTTGTACCCAAACGCAAGAGCCCTACTCGAAGCAGCTTCAGTTCGACTCCTACGGTCGAAGTACGAAATGTGGTTACCGGAAAAACCAAGAGAATTGAACAAGAGTGGTGTTTTCCGGGTAAAAGTGACGGGATTAAGCATTGTTGTCTCCTCTGGTCTGATACTGCAACGCCACAACTGAAATGTGATTGTCGCCATTTGGGATATAAATCACTCGTGTAGGTGTTTTGGGCTTTCTATATGGGCTTTTTTATGGGCCTTCGGGCTTCTCGTGAAGGATAAGGAACAGTGTGTGTCTGCATTTCGTTTGTTGAATAACCGAGCAAAAACAGGTTTGTGCTAGAATCTGTCTTTATTATATGTTATCTACATTGTGCTCAAAGCAATAAAAGACCATTCTTGATATCATGTTAATTCACCTTTTAAGACAAATGATGCATGTTTTATAGCTCTAGAGACTCTCCAGATTTGGTGTTGAACATGTTCCCAAGATGCTTTCGTGTTTAGCCTCCTTGCATTATCGATCGCATCATCAACTCCGGGGAAGGATTTGGATCCGTAGTCATCGTATTTTGATGGTCCGTATACCAAATGCTTGTACCATTGTCTTCCAGAGAGTCCATCTCGGTCTGTTAAAGCTCGTTCCGCCATCATTAATCTGTCGTTAAGCTCTCTTACTTTCATAGCTCCTTTAATTGCCTGAACAGTGTCAAGTCAAGCTTACTCTCAAGTAACCAATTTACTACTTGTTTTGTCGAAAATGTTAACTATCGCCATACCTCTTTCTCTATATTTATTTCTTGTGCAGCCGTAAATAGATTTTCGATTGATTTGAGTAACGGAGAGACATCTATGCTATGTCCTAACTTCTCCTTCTCCAAATCTTCCGCGCTTTTCTGTTTATGCAGTTAGACAAATACCGTCAGAGCAATCTATTTGCTCATTAGTTTCTTTGACCATATGTTTTAAGAGATATCAATTACCTTGAGTTCTGATGCATAGGAGATATAGTTGAATGGTAAGAATTCCTCGTCTGCTAACCGAAGAGCGACCAAACCCAAAACACTAGCCATTGCGACATGTCGATGAAACATCGGGTCTCCAAATTTTTCCATCCAAGTGAAGTCATCATACATTGAGTGATAGACTGGATAGTCTGCCATTTATGGTTATTTTTAGCAAGCATTAGCCTCTAAACCATTAGTTAAGCTATTCAGATATTTACCTTTTCCAAAACGCACATCAACTGCTGGAATGCCAACATGTTGAACAAATGGTGCGTAATCCGATCCTCCTCCTCCTAACCTTCCGATCTTCACATACCAAGTATACAAATCAGTTTACCATAAGACAAAAGTCATAATCTAACTTTGTGTCTTCGCTTACCGCACCCGAGTTGCTTGATCCTATCCATGATTCGTAGATGGTTTGCGTTGCGTTATCTGGATCCTGGACCTTCACATAGTTAAACAAATAACTTCATCACATGTGTGTTTAACAGAAACACTTACCATTTAAGATTAGCTCAAAAGACTGTTTGTTGTTAGCACCCAGATGCTTGTTAAACTTAAAGTACCTCTTGAGCCGCTAGTTTTATAAGTTCATCGAGTTGTGGAGTCGCAGAGGCATAAAATCCTGGGCCAGATACCGCACAGTCTACATTCAAGTAGGCCACTGCTCTCGAACTTAGCATCTCTCTGTTATCTTCTACCCATTCTGTTGACCCAATCTACAGCAAATAACACATCAAACCCGAAAACTTTCTGCTGCTTTCGACATTACATATTAAAAGCGAGGTAGAGACTAGAGACCAGAGCATACTCCTCAGCATCCCAATTGCACAGAATAATCGTCCGTCGAGGCTTCCATCCTATTCTCTGCAGCTTGCCAAGTCTTTCTGCAATCTACAGTTTCAAAAACTCTCATTCCAATGGAAACCATTTAAAACTCTCAGGATACAATGTTGCAGGGAAAACGTTACTTGCCTCCAAAAGTACCGCAGTCCCACTGTTCGGATCAACAGCTCCGAAAGTCCAAGCGTCACGATGGTTTCCAAGAATCACAAATCTAACACATACACCAATTCATTCAAATACACAATCAAAGCTTGCCTTAGTCTATATTCTATAGCTAGAATTGAGAATGTACCTATCAGGCTCTTCTTCTCCTTCAATCACTCCAATAACATTCTCAATCTGAGCTATAACAGTTTCCCCCTAAAAAACCAAACCCAAAATCAAAAGTCCCTTTTTTAAACTAAGAAAGGCAAAAGTTTCGACCTTTACAAATCAAAAACTCACAATGTAGCTCAGGTTCAAGATCCCAGGTCCCGGTCCCACCGGATTATCACCATCTTCTCCAACGAACGTCTTCAAAATCACTTCACCATCAGCCGCCGAAACAGGCAACGAAGGTATTCGCGTAGCATCGCCGCTCAATTCAACCGCTTCCTCCGATAATCTCTCACACCCATCAACGCTTGCCCACCCAGGAGTCGTCGGATCACCCAAACCATTGTAAACAGTACCCACTTGTACACCACTCGGAGGCATCGATCTACTCGCCGGAAACCACTCATCTCCGCCGTAATCTCTCTTATCGGTGTAGATCACGACGCCTACAGCTCCTTCCCGGTACGCGTTCTTCACTATGTCTCCTCTGAAAATCTCCCCATACCTAGCGATTACGACGCTTCCGGTGACATTCACACCAATTTCATCTCTCAATCTAGCGAAATCTTCTACTCGACCGTAGTTTGCGTAAACCACTGGACCAGAAACGTTACCAGACTTAGCGTATCCATGGAAAGTAGGAATCGCTTCGTTTGCGTAAGGATTGTCTCCGATTTGTTCTTGTTCGAGCTTAAAAGTGATGGCTTTTGATGATTCTGTTGGTGTTAGTATCAGTGAGCGATGGATTGGGTAAGTTAGAGAGACATGGTAAGTGACGACGTGTGATTTGATGAGGTTAGAGGAAGTGAAGACGGAGCGAACGTAGTCGGCGGCTTCGGCGTTGGCTAATGAACCGGCGACGTGAGGGCGGAGCGTGAGGGTGCGAAGGTGTAGAGCGACGGAAGCGTTGTCGGAGAAGGAAGAAGAGAGGAACAGTGAGTGGTAGTGAGGTTTTGGTGAAGTAGAGAAGAGGAAGGCGTAAGATAAAGCAATGATTAAGATGGCGAGAGCTGTTGGTTTCGACATCAATGGAGATAATTGATTGCTCTCTGCTTTTGGTTCTTGTTCTTGTTTAGACTTTAAAAAGTAGTGGTTTTTTTTTTATAGAGAGGATTTGATCTTAGCAAGAATCTTTGACTTTACTATCATCTTCATTAACACTAGAGATTGATTATCAGACATCAATTATTGCCAAATCCCTTATTTTTATTTGGTCTACTGAAGATAGGGGAAGTGATTATGCTTTTTGAGTTTGTATTCACTTCAAACTTATATAGATCATTATTAATCTCTTACCAATCAAAAGGCTAGAATCCTCTTGACTAGCACATAATTGAAAATACAAACCATGATATTGATAACATTACCACTAACAAATCACATGAAACAATCTGAGATGAACATAAATAATCAAAGTAGCCATTTCGAAACACACATTCACTAACCCACACCTATAACATACATGCAAAGTAATCCTAGGAAATTATGAATTAAAACGTCATCATGAAAACCAAGTTATTAGTGCATCCGGATAAGGCCTTTTACTATCATTATGGAGCTCATTTCGTAATCGATTACATACTTAATTACAAATCTGTTTTAAAATACACCAGACTGCACCATAGTTCTAACCTGCTTATCTTAATAAAGCACATTTATTAGTGGTGTACCAGCAAGATAGAACTTGGTCGGCAATATTTGGGTGTGGAATGGGCGGATCTTTCTGAAAATTTTCTCTATCCAACACTTGAATACCCCCTTTGGTCGAGTAGAAATCTTTGTTCTAAATTTTAGCAAAACAAAAAGAAAGAAAATCTCTGTCCTAA